ATACAAATATTCATATTTAAGAGAGTTTGTCCTCTGATGGCCAGATATCTGATTTGAAAAAACCTTACTTGCCAACATAGCAACAGAAGAAAATCCCTGGAATTTGAGGTTATATTTAATCCCAGGTTAAAATTCTCTATCTTTGCAAGAGTTTAACTGTTTTAGATTCTACCTATAGGTGAGATCATGCAGTGTTTGTCTTTCTGTGGCTGGCTTATTTCGCTTAGCATAATGTCTTCCACTCAGAGAAGCAGAGAGTAGGATGGTGATCACCAGAGGCTTGGGGTAGAGAGAAATGGGAAGATGCTAGTCAAGGGATATGAGCGGTACAAAGTTTCAGTTATGCAGGGTGAATAAGTCCTGGAAATGTAATGCACTATAGTTAACAATACTTTATTGTATGCTTGAAATTTGTTTAAAGGGTAGATATTAAGTATTCTCATGGCAAAAATTCAAAGAGGACTCGGAAAATTTTTATTAAAGTTATGTATCTTTCACCAATCCATAGACTGATTCTAGAAAAATAAATACCCTTCTCCATTCACCCCTAAAGTAAGGAGGATCAGATTAAGTCACCACTGAGGTCTGGAAGTTTTAATGATGAGTTTGTTTGTGATGATTTCATGTGCTCTGAATGATGATTGCAGCTCTACACTCAACCAAGAACCTTGTGGACCAAGTGAGATCCAAGTGTCTCAGAGCACATGGAGGAGTACTTATGAGGGCCTGATTCTTCTCTCCTGTATGAAAGGAGATGAGGATTAACTAGTCAAGCTACTTAATTAACTGTAAAGTTAATCTACCCACTATAATTCTGATATAGCAAAGTAAGCCCCACACTCTCTGATCTGGCAGAATGCTACAGTGGAAAAACCTCTGGAGACTGTTAAATAAAAATTATTCACCAGACACTTGTTAAAAATGGCAAGACAGATTTTATCCAAGACTGTTGCAGTAGAGGTCAAGACTATTGCAATAGAGGGGAGAGATTAAGCTCAACTGAAAATACAATGAGGAGAAGTTGGGATTTATAGCCAATGAACAGAGGGAGAGGGTCAGTGGATAGAGAATTACTAAAGGGAGAATGCAAGGATAGGGGGATTCTTGCTAAATTGGCTTAACAGGATTCTTGCTAAAGACAAGCCAAGAACTTTGATACAAGGAGTTAGATGTCTAGGGTGGGGGTTGAGAAATTTGATCAGATATCAAGGGTAGGGGCTTCTTGCTAAACTGATTTAGCAGGATTCTTGCTAAAACTGAGTTTATCCAGGAAAAATGTGTAAGGTCGAGGTTGACACCTAGTTGAGAAGAGGGCTCAGAAGGGCCTAACTAAAATCTCGTCAAGAAGGGAGTCTCTGCCAAGTCAGAAAAATTATTTGGGTTCAAATCCTTGATTTGCCACTTATTAACTTTGTGATTTTGCAAATGTGGGAAAGTCATTAACTGCTCTAAGCTTCAGTTTCTCCTAAGTAAAATGGAGATGATCATAACTACTCTACAGAGCCCACAGAGACACCACAAGAATCAAAATCAAGATGAAATGTTGCAGGTGAAAGCTTTTAGTAAATTATAAAGCTTTGCATACATGTAAAGAAGTTATTCCTGCAGGATAGAAAATAAGCCATGGTCAAATGACCATAGCCTTTCCATCTCCCTCTAGTCAGAGTAAGGACATAGGAGTGTGATGGTTCTTCTTGTCAACCTAGGGTTTTACAACAAGAAAGGAAAATCACCAGGATAAAGAGTTTCCACACAATGAAAAGGGAGACTCTAGCACAGTTTTTCTGAGTAGTCGTTATGATCTGGATACTTGCAAGAGCCTTATAACAATATATGATAAATGATATTGCCGCCTCATGACTGCATACTCCTAATCCTGACATATCTTCTCCTAAGGTAGAGCTAGCAGAGGGTAGTCCCCATCATGGGCCAGAGCAACCACACCACTGGGAAGGAATTTGTCTTCCTGGAACTCACTCGCTTCCGGGAGCTAGAGTTTTGCTTGTTTGTGGTCTTCCTTGCTGTGTATGTAACAACTGTGCTGGGTAACGCACTCATTGTGCTGACCATCACCTGTGAGTCCCACCTCCACACTCCCATGTACTTTCTCCTGAGGAACAAATCAGTCCTGGACATTGTTTTTTCAGCTGTCACCGTTCCCAAGTTCCTGGTGGATCTTTTATCAGAGAGGAAAACCATCTCTTACCATGGCTGCATGGTACAGATCTTCTTCTTCCACTTTGCTGGTGGGGCAGATATTTTTTTCCTCTCTGTGATGGCCTATGACAGATACCTTGCAATTGCCAAACCTCTGCATTATGTGACCATTATGAGGAGATCGATGTGGGTGGGTTTGGTGGTCGCCTCTTGGTGGGTGGTGGTTTGCACTCAATTGTCCAGATAATTCTCTTACTTCCACTCCCCTTCTGTGGTCCCAATGTCCTAGATGCCTTCTACTGTGATGTGCCCCAAGTGGTTAAACTGGCCTGCACTGACACCTTTGCTCTGGAACTCCTTATGATCTCTAACAATGGGCTGGTGACACTCCTGTGGTTCCTCGGGCTCCTGGGGTCCTACACTATTATTCTGGTGATGCTGAGATCTCACTCTGGGGAGGGCCGGCACAAGGCCCTCACCACCTGCACCTCCCACATCCTGGTGGTGACTCTTCACTTTGTGCCTTGCATTTACATCTACTGCCGGCCCTTCACTACACTGCCCATGGACATAGCTGTGTCTATCAATAACACGGTCATCACCCCCATGGTGAACCCCATCATCTACACTCTGAGGAGCCAAGAGATGAAATCAGCCATGAAGAGACTTCAGAGAAGGATTGGGTTTTCTGAGAGCAGTAAACTGGGGTGAGCAGTCAGATTGAGATGGAAATCTAACTCTGATTAATTTCTCAAACCACTATCCTGGGAGTAAGAGACAGCTATCTCTTTTCTCCACGGTCATTTCTCTACATCCTCATAGACGCTTAACTCTATTAGAGGGAATATAGAAACAAAAAGAAGAGATGAGGTTGAACAACATGAGATATTGGGCTTGCAGACTGGGGAGAGGAATGAGGTATAAGACTAAAATCAATAACCTAATGCTATTTTGTTGTAATCTGTGACTCTCATGCCAACATACTTTACCTCACTTTTACCACCTGTAATATGGAAATAACATTGTCTCCTCACAAGGTTGCCAAGAGAGTGAAGAATTACAAATGTTGAGAGGATGATAGCTGCAAAAATTAGTATTGCTCCTGGAATTAATCAGGCATACAAACGATTTCCCTGTTATAATATTCCTAAATGTGCATATATACAGAATATGGATGTATTTCTTTCTCACATGCTTTCTCTAGTGTCTCTGAGATTTCTCTGCCTTCTCTGATTATTCCCAGTTGATTATTAAAATCACTTCTTGATTTAATATTTTGAGTACAGAATCTTCAACATATTTCAATATATTTCACTATTCTCAGATCCATTCTACTGATTTTCTCACTCAAATTAATCTCAAAAGTACTTTTACAAATTGGGGCTATATCTGCACAAAATCCACAAAGATAATTTATTTTTTGTTAACTTAAACTTCTTTATTCCCTCTATCTTCTCTCCACTTCACTCCCAGGGCTTTTATAGCTGGAGCAAAACTATAGTTTTGTCTATATATGCACAGACAATTCAAGATAAATCACTGGTAAAAAAAAAAATACCTTTTCACACACTCAAGATCCATTTTTTGTAGCAGGAGAGAAAAGAAACACATTGTAGGCAGGGCCATTTAGGAATAGCCACTGGGTCTTCTTTGTAATCCACCTCTCTCCAAAGAGGACGATTCTAAAAATGTAATTCTGTAGAGAGACAATAAATCTCCCTTCTCTCTTTATTCCTGCTTCAAATTCTACCCTTCAGCCTCCAAAAGTCATTAAAAAATTGGCCAAGAGGAATAAGAAATCTCAGGAAACTTCAACATATAGACCATTCTTTTGAAATTGTTATGATGCATTAATACTTGCAAAATGGTCCTAGTAGATGACAGACATTTGTGATTTTCTCTGAGTCCTACAAGACAGAGACATTGGGCCAAGACTCTTAACCACATGGCAGTGCTTCTCAAACTTTTTAAAATTATTGCCTCCCCCCCAAGGAGCTTTATTAGGTATTTTTACTAATTGCTTTCCCACAAGAAAAATGTAATACCAAAGATATACTGTATATCTTTTTACACCAAAGATCTTTGAAGGACCACACATCATTGCAATATCTAAGATTTTTTGGCTACCAATAACCAATTTTTGCCCCCTTGGTCACATTGCCCACACTGAGAATGAATGATAACATGGCATTAGATATTTCTATTAACATGTTTCCCCGAAATTCAAAGAATCACAGAATAAATAGCATATGTCTTCTGGGGCCTTGCAAGAATTTGGAAAGCATAGAAATGTGGGCATCTTTGTTTGTGTGTGTCTGTAAGTGCATGCATATGTATGTGTGTGCACATATGCGTGGATTTGTGTCCAAAAATGACTTGGAAAATATTTAATAACTCCCACTGGAACTCCAACACTGTCATAAGAATGTCCATTCTATTTCCACACTCAGATATAATAAAATTCCCTTTGCTAATTCTCATATTAGGCTTGAGCCTAAGGGACTACTGTATGTGATAGGGATGCTTTGGGACCAGATGAAGAGCCATGATGATGTAACTCCCTGAGTCTGCCCTTTCCAATGTGAAGTTTTAAGAGAAGATACCGAAGTCTAATGTAACTAACCTGCAGAAGGACTTCAACTTCTAACATGATATTTCCCCAGAACCATACACACTGAGGCCCAGCTATCCAGTCTCAGATGGCATAAATTCCAGCTTGGATACTGAAGGATTTGGGTAAGAATATTGAACTGTCAGAGTGTGAGACATTGTGGATTATACATGGATAGGATGTGCATGAAAATGTACCTAGTGTATAAGATATTGCAAAAATAGCTGACAATTTTAGTAACGGAAAACAAAGAAGTAGATTTTAAATACTGGAAAAGGAGGAATGTCTCCTTAAGAAGAAGGAGCCACAGAGATGGAGTCAGCATGGTAAAAGAGAAAGCAGCTCGTATTTGATGGAACAATTGAGTTGCATATAAGGAGCAGATTTTATTCTAGCTTAGGGTTTGTCCATGGGATCATGGAGCCTCTTTCCACAACATTGGTGCTTCCTTAAAAAACATAATCTTAACCTCAAATTATCTTAAAAACTGTGGAGGTTTCAAAGGCAACCCTATTTCCATACACTGCCCATGACTCACTGGGTCTCTTTAGCCTTTGATCCAGAGCCTGTCTTATTCCTGAACCCAATGACCCAGAGCTGAAGGCTCAAGTCCACTTGGTTAATTCATGCAAGTTTATGGAAACAAAAATAGTTAAGTTGGTTCAAAGAGAAGTTGTACTTCTATTGAATCGCATTTTATTGCTATTCAATAGAATATTCTACATATGTCTTCATAAATAACCCTCATGATAGGCAGGTCAGATTCTGTTTTCAGGAAAAAGGGAAAGAATCAAGTTAATTGAATGTCCACTCTGATCTTGGTACTTTACAAACATGATCATAGTTACTCCTTATGCCACCCATTGAAGTAAGTGGTATGCTTCCCAGTTTGCAGAGGAATAAATTGAAGGAAAATAAAGAACTTGCTCCATGTAACAAATGAGGAAGAGGCAAAATTCCAACCCAAATTTGCCCTACCTGAAAACTCTTAACATTGCCCTACACCACATCACATTAGATTGCCCTCACATTTTACAACTGAGGATCCAAGGAACAGAGAGGCAATGGACTTTCTCAAGGTCACAAAGGTGTTTTATAGCCTGGATCAGAAAACAAATCTCTATCTGGCATCCCTCAGGCCATGTCAAAGATGTTAACAAAAGAGTTTCTTAGCCTGTGTTCGTCAAGATCCTTCTCCCTCCTCACATTCCAATGCCAATGCTTATAAGTAATGATGTGCACTTACCAGCTAGATTTATAAATTTAAGAAACATTTATTGAGGGCCTGGCCCTGTGGCCGAGTGGTTAAGTTCATGCAATCTGCTTGGGCAGTCCAGGGTTTTGCCGGTTCAGAGCCAGGGCATGGACATGGCACCCCTCAGGCCACGGTGAGGCAGCATCCCACACAGCACAACCAGAGGCACTCACAACTGAAATATACAACTATGTACTTGGGGGCTTTGGGGAAAAGAAGGGAAAAAAAGAAAATTGGCAACAGATGTTAGCTCAGGTGTCAATCTTTAAAAAAGCAACAAAACATTTATTGAGCACCTAACGCATGCCCCATACTAAGTGAAGATTTGATGATATTAGGATGGATGAAATACTCAGCAGACAGGATGAACTTGAGGTATAATAGGGAAATTATAGCGTGCTAAGGGAAAAGAGACATATAATTAGAAGAAACTGTTAAAAATACCAGAAGAGAAGTCAGTGCAGGGAATGAGTCACAAAGGGGTGTCAGGGAAGTTTTCACAGAAGAGGAGTCTCTGGACCCGAGCGTCGAAAGGTCAGTGTTTGTGAAGACGGATAGATGGGAGATTCTGAGAGTAGGGAGGATACGGTAGGTAGAGGGAGCAACAGGATCACAGATCCAAAGGCATAAGAATGTGTATAACATTTAAACACCTGAAACAGAATCAAAGGAAACAGGGCACTAGATAATATCGAAGATGGAGGGAAGTCTTAGATGCTATAAGAAAAGTTTAATCTTTATTCTATAAGCAATAGGGAACTACTAGAAATTTTCCAGCAAGGGAATAAATGGTCCATTTATGACTTGTGAAGATATTTCTGCAAACAACAGAGAGGATGAATTAGAGAAAACTACACCGAAGAAAAGGAGACCAGTTACAGAACTCCTGCAACAATCTGAGGAGAAGCGATAAAGGTTTAAGTGAGGATGAGGAGAATGGGACAAATTGAGAGAAGTGAAAAAAGTAGTACCCTCAGGAGAGTTTTAACAGTGCCCAGGTCTCTTGCATGTGGGTGGCTCAATATAAGTCTTTTGGATAAAACATACTGCCTATCAGTACATGCTGTGGAGGTAAGTGTGCCTCAGAGACTGAATAAACTGGGAAAACAAGACAAGTCATCAAATTCTCCAGAGCAAATGAGAGGCAACATGTGTTTTGGGCTTATTTATCCACATAGTTTTTCAAGACTCTTACCTTCCCAAAGTTTGTTTTTACACAGACCAATCATGATGCTTCCCAGTTGGGCACTGATCTGGACAGTGACCATCTATCAATAAGGTAATGCCAGGTGATTCAGGCAGATGCTTAGGCTGAGGATGGCTTTTACCTATAACTCTGAGTTAACTTTGTGACCACTGCCACCATCATAAATCTTCTTATAAATTATTGAAATGACATGGGCTGAATGTCAAAGTCTAACTCCATCACTAGCTTCCTGCGTGATCTTATACTTGTCACTTGGGCCTCTTAAGAACTTTATTTTTCCTTAATTGATCTTCAAACAACCAAGGTTGCTTACTCCTGACTCATACGGGAAAAATACAAGGAAATAAAAATCCTCTAAGTTGGATCTGCCCCTTCCTCCTCAGCCACGACTCTATGTAAGAGAACATACCAACCCTCAGGGATGGGGAACAACCATTGCTTCCATCTTGTGTTTATTTACTCCATCAGAAAGTGAAAATCCAAGCTCACTAGAAACTGTTTATCTTTTATAGGAAGGGCACAGGAGGAAATTCACATTTACCTGTACTGCCTACATTTCTGTGGTAACCTTGAATTTCATGCTCGTTCTCTATGTATGCATGTCTGGACCTTTGTGAACATATCATCTCCATCACCATCTTTGTCAACTTCTTTGTGTTAAATTCATCATTTACCCTTGACCTCTTAGTATCTATGAAATGAAATAAAACATTGAAGAGAAGATGTCATTTCTGAAAGGTCTAAAATTCCATTGATGGAAAGAGGAAATTGAGGAGCTAATAAAACTCACCACTGAAAGTTCTGTAGAGTGTTCCTTACACAAATTATTCATGGATTTATATATTTTGAAACTGGCAGGCAGTGTGGTATAATGGAAAGATCCTAGAACTAAGAGAAGAAAACTGTGTTACTTTTTCTCTGCCACTGGTTTTCTGAATTACTTTGGAAAATTGGCTTATACTTATTGATTTCAGTTTTGGTATTATTAAAGTGGGAATAACAGCTTTCTCCCTAAACTCAGAGGGATATTAGGAAATTTTATTGTAATTAAGTGTGCAGTAGCTTTTAAAACAATAATATGCTGTTCAAATTGACCCATATCATCTTGTTACTGAAAGGCATTTGAGGGTTGATTTATTCCAAAGGCTTTTAAGCCATAGAAACAAAGTGAAACTTGAATAAAATCAGAGCTGCTCTGATTCACGAAGATGTAGGGAACCCATAATTCTTTCCATAAAGCCTTCCTTAGATCTCTTCCTCAGCAACTTCTAGGGGTGATCACAAAGTCCCCAATCAAGTACGGTAGGAAAGCAAATGATCTAGCTCAAAACTCAACTTGTACTAATGAGGGAACTGAAGCAAGTAGAACTGAGTGATTTCCCTGGTAACACAGCTAGTTCATGAAGAATAAGATATATTTATGTATGTTCATTTTCTGTATGAGGTAAAACTTTGATTTCGTTACCTAAGTAATATTATTTCTTTCCAAGCTGTACTTGGAGGAGGAAATATCATCCAATGGCCCTGAGAAATCATACCAGGGTGTCTGAATTCATTTTTTGTGGCCTTACCCAGTCTCAAGAGTTAAGCTTGCTCTTATTTTTATTTTTAGCTGTGATTTATGTAACAACTGTGTTAGCAAATGTTGCCATCATGATCACTGTGACCTGTGAGCCTCGCCTTCACACCCCCATGTACTTCCTGCTCCGCAATCTCTCTGTCTTGGACATCTGCTTCTCCTCCATCACTGCTCCGAAGGTCCTAGCTGACCTTCTTTCAAGGAGAAAGACCATCTCCTTCAACGGTTGCATCACACAGATGTTTTTCTTCCACCTCCTCGGTGGAGCAGACATTTTTTCTCTCTCTGTGATGGCCTTTGATCGCTACATGGCCATCTCCAAGCCCCTGCACTATGTGACCATCATGAGTAGGGGGAGATGCACTGCCCTCATTGTGGCTTCCTGGATGGGGGGCTTTGTCCACTCCATTGTGCAGATTTCCCTTTTGCTACCCCTCCCCTTCTGTGGACCTAATGTTGTTGATGGCTTCTATTGTGATGTCCCGCAGGTGCTCAAACTCGCCTGCACTGACACCTTTGTCATTGAGCTTTTAATGATTTCCAACAATGGCCTGGTCACTACCCTGTGGTTTGTCCTTCTTCTTGTGTCATACACAGTGATCTTGATGATGCTGAGAACTCAAACTGGAGAAGGCAGGAAGAAAGCCATCTCTACCTGCACAGCCCACATCACTGTGGTGACACTGCACTTTGTGCCCTGCATCTATGTCTATGCCCGGCCCTTCACTGCCCTCCCCATGGACAGAGCTGTCTCCATCACCTTCACTGTCATCATCCCTGTTCTGAACCCCATGATTTACACCCTGAGGAACCAAGAGATGAAGTCATCCATGAGAAGACTGAAGAGAAGAATCATGCTTTCTGAAAGGGGATAGCCTGATTACAGATTGTGGATCAAGCTGCAAGAATATAATTGAGATATTTTCTTAAAATATTAGCTGTCACATATTGTCATGCCTCAACCATAAATAGACGAGTATAGCAAGATGGCACAGGCACAAAGGATCAGCTACCTGGCACAACGATATTGAGAAGGAACACCAGCAAGAAATTAAGCAGATAGAACATAGTCCTTAAAGAGCAATTGACAGCAAGCAGGGCACAAACGTGAAATACTGTAGAAATTCTTGGTGTCCAGGCAATGGGATGAAAGATAGGACTGTGGTGTCCAGACATGCAGTAGGCAACAGGGACACAACCATTCAGTATGTGTAGAGACTTAGTTTTAAGGATCTTCATTGTCTTTCACTCCCTGTGACTTCCTAACAGTTGGATGTGACCTAGAACTTATACAGTCTTATTTTTAAAGCTCCAATATATGCCTACAGCAAGGGTAAGAATCTGGAACTACCTGTCTAACTGTTCATACTATTGCCTCAGACATAAGTTAGTTTGACTAGTTGAAAAAGGAAAAGCTGTATCTAAGCCAATAAATATTTTTTTCCTATGTGCACTTCTTTGTCATTTCCCTTACCACAGTGCATTAAAGAGCTCCAGAGAACTTAGCAGATCTAATTCTCCATTATATTCGCAGTGTCTAGAAAAGTGCCTGACCTGTAAGAAGCTATTAGTGTTTGTTCATTGAATTTGTGGCATGGAAGGAAAGGAATTTATATAAGAGTATGACATCAGTTCTACTTAATCATGGTTTTTAGAATTTATTTATTTATTTTTATTGAAGTAACATTGGATTATAACATTATAAAACTTTCAGGTGTACATTAAATATATTTCAAATTCTGTGTAGATTACATCATGTTCACCACCCAAAGACTAATTACGATCCGTCACCACACATGTGTGCCTAATCACCCCTTTTGCCTCCTCCCTTCCCACTTCCCCTCTGGTAACCAGAATCCAGTCTCTGTTGTTATCTTTTTGTTTGTCCTTTCTTTTAATCTTCTACTTAAGAGTGAGATCATAGAGTATTTGACTTTCTCTGTCTGACTTATTTCACTTAGCGTAATACCTTCAAGGTCCATCCATGTTGTCACAAATGGCCAGATTTCAACATTTCTTATGACTGAGTAGTATTCCATTGTGTATATATACTACATCTTCTTTATCCATTTGTCCCTTGATCAGGACCTAGGTTGCTTCCAAGTCTTGGCTGTTGTGAATCGTGCTGCAATGAACATAGGGGTGCATGTATCTTTATGAATTTGTGTTTTCAAGTTCTTTGGATAAAGACTCAGCAGTGGAATAGCTGGATCATATGGTAGATCCATTCTTAATTTTCTGATTTCATAATTTTCTGAAACTCCATACTGTTTTCCATGGCAGCTGCACCAGTTTACACTTCCACCAGGAGTGTACAAGGGTTCCCTTCTCTCCGCATCCTCCCCAACATTTGCTGTTTCTGTCTTGTTAATTATAGTCATTCTGACCAGAGTGAGGTCATATCTCATTGCAATTTGATTTATTTTTCTCTGATAGTTAATAATGTTGAACATCTTTGCCTGTGCCTGTTGGCCATTCATATGTTTTCTTTGGAGAAATCTCTGTTCAGATCTTTTGTCCATTTTTTAATTGGGTTGTTAGTTTTTTTATTGTTGAGATATATGAGTTCCTTCTATATTTTGGGTATTAACACCTTATCTGATATATGGTTTGCAAATATCTTCTCCCAATTTCTAGGTTGTCTTTTCATTTTATTGATGGTTTCTGTTGCTGTGCAGAAGCTTTTTAGTTTGATGTCATCCTGTAGGTTTATTGTTTTACTATTGTTTATCTTGCCTGGTCAGACATGGTATTTGAAAGACTGCTGGAAAGACCGATGTCAAAGAGGGTACTGAGTATATTTTCTTCTAGAAGTTTCATGTTTTCAGTTCTCACATTCAAGGATTTAATCCATTTTGAGTTGATTTTTGTGCATGGTGTAAGATAATAGTCTGCTTCCATTCTTTTGCATGTGACTGTCCAGTTTTCACATGATTTATTGAAGAGACTCTCCTCTATCCATTATATGCTCTTGGCTCCCTTGTAAAAATTAGTTGTCCATAAATCTGTGGGTTTATTTCTGGGCTCTTGATTCTGTTCCATTGATCTGTGTGTCTCTTTTTGTGCTATTACCACGCTTGTTTTTTTACTAAAGCTTTGTAGTGTATTTTGAAATCTGGGGTTGTGGTACCTCCAGCTTTATTCTTTTTCCTCAGCATTGCTTTGGCTATTCGGGGTCTTTTGTTGTTCCATATAAATTGTAGGATTCTTTGCTCTATTTCTGTGAAAGAATGATGTTGGAAGTTTGATAGGAATTGCATTGAATCTATAGATTGCTTTAGGAAGGATGGATATTTTAACTATGGTAATTCTTCCAATCCAAGAGCATGGAATATCTTTCCATTTCTTTGTATCTTCTTCAATTTCTTTCAACAATGTTTTATAGTTGTTGGTATACAGATCTTTCACCTCCTTGGTTAAGGATATTCCTAGGTATTTTATTGTTTTTGTTGCACTTGTAAATGGTATTGTATTCTTAATTTCTCTTTCTGCTACTTCGTTGTTAGTGTATAGAAACGGGACCGATTTTTGTATGTTGATGTTGCATCCTGCAACTTGACTGTATTCATTTATTATTTCTAAAAGATTTTTTAGTGGATTCCTTATGGTTTTCTACATATAAAATCATGTGTCTGCAAAGAGTGACAGTTTTACTTCTTTTCCTATTTGGATCCCTTTTATTTCTTTTTCTTGCCTGATTGCTCTAGCTGAGACTTCCAATACTATGTAAAATAAGAGTGGTGACAGTGGGCATCCTTTTCTGGTTCCAGTTCTTAGACGGATAGCTTTCCGTTTTTCTCCATTGAGAATAATATTAGCTGTGGGTTTGTCATATATGGCCTTTATTATTTTGAGGTATTTTCCTTCTATACCCATTTTATTTAGAGTTCTTATCATAAATGGATACTGTATCTTGTCAAATGCTTTCTCTGCATCTATTGAGATGATCATGTGATTTTTATTCTTCATTTTGTTAATGTGGTATATCACATTGATAGATTTGCACATGTTGAACCATCCTTGCATCCCTGGAATGAAACCCACTAGATCATGATGTATGATCTTTTTAAGGTACTGTTGTATTAGATTTTCTAGTATTTTGTTGAGTTTTATTTTCATCGATGTTCATCAGTGATATTGGCCTGTAATTTTCATTTTTTGTATTGTCCTTGTCTGGTTTAGATATCAGGATAATGTTGGCTTCATAGAAAGATTTAGGAAGCCTTGCCTCCTCTATAAATTTGTGTAACAGTTTGAGAAGGATAGGTATTATGTATTCTTTGAATGTTTTGTAGAATTCACCAGGGAAGCCGTCTGGCTTTTGATTTTTGGTAGGCAATGATTACTGTTTTGATCTCCATACTGGTGATTGGTCTATTCAAATACTCTACTTCTTCTTGATCCAGTTTTGGAGGTTGTATGATTCTAACAATTTATCTATTTCTTCAAGATTATCCAATTTGTTGGCATATAGCTTTTCATAATATTCTCTTATAATCTTTTGTAATTCTGAGATGTCCATTGTAATTTCTCCTCTTTCATTTCTGATTTTGTTTATTTGAGGCTTCTCTCTTTTTTTCTCGGTGCTTCTAGCTAAAGATTTGCTAATTTGGTTTATCTTTTCAAAGAACGAGCTCTTGCTTTCATTAATTTTTTCTATTTTTTTCAGTCTCTATTTCCTTTATTTCTGCTCTGATTTTTATTATTTCCTTCCTTCTACTGATTTGGGGCTTTGTCTTCTTCTTCTTTTTCCACTTCCTTTAGGTGCACTGTTAGTTTATTTGGGGTATTTCTTGTTTGTTGAGGCAGGCCAGAATTGTATACACTTCCCTCTTAGAAGCACTTTTGCTGTACCTCATAGATTTTATCATGTTGTATTTTCATTTTCTTTTGTCTGCCAGTATTTTTTTATTTCTCCTTTGATTTCACTGACCCAATCGTTGCTCAGTAGCATTTTGTTTATTCATCACATTTTTGTGGCTTTTCTGATTTTCTTCCTGTAGCTGATTTCTAGTTTCTTACCTTTGTAGTCTGAAAAGATGCTTGGTATTATTTCAGTTTTCTTAAATTTATTGTGACTTGTTTTGTAGCCTAATATGTGATCAGTCCTGGAGAATGTCCCATGTGCATTTGAAAACATATGTATTTTGTGGTTTGGGGATGGAATGTTCTATATATATATATATATCTCTACTAAGTCAATCTGGTCTAATGTGTCATTTAAGGCCAATGTTTCCTCATTGATCTTCTGTTTGGGTAACCTATCCATTGGTGTAAGTGGAATGTTAAAGTCCTCTATTATTATTGTGTTACTGCATATTTCTCCTTTTATGTCTGTTAATGATTACTTTATATATTTAGGGGCTCCTATATTGGCTTCATAGATATTTACAAGTGTTGTATCTTCTTGTTGCTTTGTTCCCTTTATCATTATGTAGTGCCCTTCTTTGTCTCTTGTTATAGTTTTTGTTTTAAAATCTATTTTGTCTGATATAAGTATTGCTACCCCTGCTTTGTTTTCTTTGCCATTTGCATGGAATATCTTTTTCCATCCTTTCACTTTCAGTTTGTGAGTGCCTTTAGGTCTGAAGTGTGTCTTTTATATGCAGCATATATATGAGTCTTGTTTTTTTTATCCAGTTGGCCACCCTATGCCTTTTGATTGGAGCCTTTAGTCCACTGACATTTAAAGTAGCTATTGATAAGTATGTATTTATTGCCATTTTGTTACTTTTCGTTTTCTAGATGTTTTAGTAGTTCTCTGTTCATTCTCCTTCTCTTGCTTCTTCCTTGTGGTTTTATGGCTTTCTTTAGTAATGTGTTTGATTTCTTTCCTCTCACTTATTTGTTCACTTATTATAGGTTTCTGATTTGTGATTACCATGAGGTTCCCATATACTATTCTACATATACAGCAATCTATATTGAGTTGATAGTCTCTTTAGCTTGAGCTCTTGTAAAATCTCTAATCTCTTACTCCCCTCCTCCCACATTTTATGTTTTTGAAATAATATCTAATTTCTTATTTTGTGTGTGTCTATTCATTACCCTCTTATTGTTGAAATAGGTAATTTTAGTACTTTTGTCTTTTAACCCTCATATTATCTTCAGAGGTGGTTGATCTGCTGCCTTTACTGTATTTTTGCCTTTACCAGAGATTTTTATTATCTGTTTGGTTTTTTGATAATTTTCTTATCCCTATTTGTGATCTTCTCTTTCCCACTTAAATAAGTCCCTTCAGCTTTCTTTTAGAACTTGTTTCATAGTAGTAAACTCCTTTAATTTTTGCATGTCTGGGAAGCTCTTTATCTCTCCTTCCATTCTGAATGATAATCTTGCTGAAGAGAGTATTCTTGGCTGTAGCTTTTTTCCTTTCAGCACTTTAAATATGTCATGCCACTCTCTTCTAGCCTTTAGGGTTTGGCTGAGAAGAGCACCAATAGCCTTATGGGCTTTCCTTTGTATGTCATTTATGGCCCTTCTTTGCTGCTTTTAAGATTCTCTCTTTATCTTTAATTGCGGACATTTTAACTATAATGTGTCTTGGTGTGGGTCTCTTGGGATTATCTTGTTTGGTGTTCTCTGTGTTTCCTGTACTTGGGTGTCTGTTTCCTTCCTTAGGTTAGGAAAGTTTTCATCTATTATTTCTTCAAATAGATTATCTGCCCTTTTGTCTCTATCTTCTCCTTCTGGGACACACATAATACGAATGTTAGT